CGGCATGTTTATGCCATAGGGAGTATCCCGGTAGCGCGGGAAGCATCGTTCGCCAATATTAATTAAAGGCCTCTAACGCTGCAGGAAAATTTTAGTAGAAGATTTAGAACTATGTATGTGTTAAGTTTTAGCGTTTGTTCCCGCTTTGAGGGCGTGAAATGCCGTGTCATTGTCCCTAATAAGTCATTGTCCCGGCATTTCAATTGTCGCCCATAAGCATGAACAAGGCGTGGGCGATCTTGTCGCCGACGGGCGATGTTGTCCAGGGCGTTCCGGTCAAACTCGTACGCGCCGACCTCAGTACCGTTGTCCATGGACATTGTGTTGGAAGGATACGTTAAGGTTCAGATAAAATGAAGAAATGAAGAAGCGCTCCTTCATAGTATGGAGATCGTAGAATCTTCAAGCAACTTTTGAACGACCAGGGAGAGTTGCTGATAGGCGAATTTGTATGAAGCTATAGAATTCCTTTATTCTTTCAAGGTAAATGAATGCTTATGTATTCGTCCGTTAGTAGCGTGAAGCTTTGAACACTCTTTGTACGGCAGATTCGGCACAATGTTTTGCCTCATTGCGATGTTGCCTGAAATTTTTGAACAGAAGGGATCACTGCTCATGCTGGTGCAGCAAGACATGTAAGGAGATGGCCTGGTCACAATCCAGCAGTCATATATCGACAATCTCAAGCTATGACAACTTGTTACATGTGTCTGTAATAAAAAAGGGACTTTGCGATGGTGTGGGGAGCTCTTTGAGTGGTGGGACTGTGGAAATCCAGTTTGTTTCGCCCGTAACAAGTTTGTTACGGGCGAAACAACGTCCCTCTGAAACGTTTGGATATGCCTATGCAACACATTTCCTCAATTTCATGAACTGCAAGTATTCTAATCCAACATCACCCCAATCTCAGTGTAAACTAGTCTCCAAATGTGCCTGCACAAGACTGTCACCCCTGTCACCCGGCATTCACATTGCCTTAACCTCCTCAAGCTTGTCGGGGTGTGACACGTGGGCATGAACCTTGTGACAATGGGCATTGTCACAAAGAAACTGGTTGCAATCAGAAATGCATTTTTGCTCATGCCAGGTTACCGACATCGG